AAAAATGTCGTAATTTCTTTTCATTGCTTAAATTTGCCTGTTTTGATAACATTTAAAGCAGAGTTTTTAAGTAATATTGACCTCCAATTGCGGGAATAAAAATATTCTAAAAGGAGATCGTTCCTCTAGTGCATGCTTAGCATAAGCAATTAGACAAAACCTTGACAAGATACATAAACAAGATTTTAATTTCGTTTTTCTTTTTAATAATTTCATTACAATCCATGTAACAAATTACGCCACTAAGGACCCATTTGATATGATTTTTAAAAAGTCAAAAAATGCTTCTGAGACTGAAAAATTACTTATGAACATATTCTGATAATTTTCTAAAGTTCTTTATCTGACTAGAAGAGTTTTTAAAGGAAAATAGATTTAAGATAACTTTCTCAACAAACTCTTCTAAAGAAGTAGAAACCCTATCAAATAGACATTTAAGCCACATAGATTCATACTAGCTTTGGACAAATTTTTAACTTTTTTGGGTTCGTACTATTCGAGTAATTGTACAATATATTAAAATCTAATTAAAATACAATTTCGATAGTTTCCATTATAGGTAGATGCTACCACGACTCCCATAAAATGATGCAACATCACAAATTTTGTCACTTGTGTACATCAAAGTGCATTCGCAAACTATGCCTGGTTTTAATGTGGTAAAATAGGCTAGTTCTAGCTTACAAAAATGTCGAGGAGAACAAAGAAAAACGCAAGGAATAACAAAAATTTCACAATAATGCAGTGGTTAAGAGGACAAATAAATGATAAACCATGATAAGGGCATCTTAAGCTCTATGTAGCATCAGGATAAAGAATGAAAGGGAAAGTGGGAACCCATTTTTCGTGGCCTTTGAGTAGGAAGAATATCAAAATTCTTGACTTGAGAATACGCCAACAACAGCTTTACTTTGAGTTAAGATTCTCAAATTCCATGTTCCTCAGAATATCACTTTTCTCCCCCACCCCCACCCCCACCCCAACCGCCAAAGAAAGAAAAGAAAAGAAAAGTGAGAAAGCTATAATCTATTAGGAATAGCATTCCTTGGTAACTTTTCTTTCTATAATTCAGCCAATACAATCTGATGTAGACAAGAAACCACAGCCAATTAGTGTTATGCATGAGTACTAGCTAATGATTGAATTGCTCACAAATTGATTCTCAAATGCTACTCTATTAAGATTCTTTTATATGAAATTATCTAATCAAACACAAGAGCATACATAAAAAAAGAGTAAGGCTTAAGTACAAACAGAGTAACAGCCCATGTTCTCTCTCTTCTTACACTACACATATACAAGGAAAAAGATTGGGTGCATGTTTTATTGAGGTCAAACTTCAATTTTTAACTAGCTATTTAATGAGATCAACAACTTTTACCAACTTTTCAACCACACGTCATCAACTTTTATCAAAATCTGCTAAAAATTTTATTAAAATATTTGTCAAACAACCCCTAGAAATGAAGAGGTATAGCCAAGTGATGCACGTACCGTACACTTAAACAGAGGAACAGTTATGGGAACATCAAGGAAAGACAACTAAATCTGCCATTTCTGAAGATCATTGGATCCTACAAAGACACTTGAAATGGAAGGTTAATGAATAGTTTTCTATATATGGCTGTATAGCCTGTCCAAAGATTGGTGTGTTATAGTGTAAAAGTGAAAATGTCAAAAATGGGCAAGCAATTACAGTTAATCCAATTTCATGGTACAACTCATATGGTCAATCAATATTCCCATCTGGTCTGGAATTGTAGTGGTATTAGTTAAGGTGACATATATAGGCACTTAAACAAACTGCGTGCAAAAATAAGCAGAACAAACTGCGTGCAAGGAGGAATGATTTGTTCCTGGATTGGGAAATAGTTTCATCATTTCAACCTGACTTGAATGGGGGAAGAGAAGAAAACAAGAAAGAAACATAAACAACAAAAGAGAAAAAATCCTTTGATACACCCTCGCCCTCACCAAAGAAAAAACAACCACACAGACAGAGAGAAAAAGATATGAAGAATATGAAAAATTAGTTATTTCTTTTGCCTTTTCGTACAAAAACTTACAAGTAGGTATATATTTATTTACATCCTACAACACAATTATACATGTTTATGCAATTGCAAAGCACTAGGAAATACTTAATAAGTTATATTGGACCCTTAATACTCCAATTGGCTAGATGATATGACACAAATATTAGTTAATCCCACCAGAAGTCGTTTAGCCCCCGTCTGGTTTAGCTAAAAACCAAATTTTTAGAAATTTTGATAAAAATTGATGAAATATGTAATTCGAAAGTTGAAAAAAATCGTAAGTTTCGTGAAATGTGTAGTTGAAGATGAGGTTGAGAAATAATGTGTTTTAGAAAACTTTGGGGGGGGGGGGGGGGGGGGGGGGGGGAGGAGGGGGGGTCGGGTTGGTTCAGAAGTTACATTCAACAATGCTAGTTAATGATGTAGCTTGAGAAGCACCACATCATTCCCCATATGCAGTGCAGTCCTATCCACAAGCCAGCAAAACTATTTAGGAATTTAACTTTAACCCGTTTACATAAAGGGTTCAATAGATTCCTCCAAACTGCATAAAATAACCTATCAGAATCAAATGATCTTTCCTGAAAAGTCCAACTGGAACTAATGCACAGGGACAGCACTTCATATATGCCATATTTACAAGTCATTAATTGTTATTTACCATATTAATTCTCCGTTTTAGTGGATTATCAATGGGTTGGCAAACGTAGTCAATATTGTTTAACCAAACTTCTTCTATATCAGCGATTAATCATGTCGTCATAGTTCACTATATCTTTTATGTGCATTCAAGCATAATTTTTGCTTTTTATCTTGAAACAAGATCTATAATTGTAGCATAGGTATGAAATAAGACTCACCCCTAATGATGATAAGGTAAAGATGTAAAGTTAAATCCAAGATGAGTGTGCCATGTACATGAGATAGACTTATGTTCTAGCCATTCACCACGAGCATGCAAAAACACACATTAATTGAGGTTTGCAAATAGAGAATACACGTTTAGGAACAGATTTAAAAACTGAAGTCCAATATAATAAACTTAAATGCTAGACCCCGCAAATTTACAGAGAACAATAGAGGAATCTATTTATATTTATATCATAAGGTGACAATTGACGCATCTCTTGAACACCTCATCTAAAAGTTGAAGCTATTAGAGAGAAAAAAAAAATTTATTTAAGTTATGCCTTCAACATGCCCATCAAGTGGAGATCAGATCCAAGTTTTCATCAAAGGTCTGATAAGCACACAATATTCATAAATAGGTGGTAAGGAAATTTAACCTGAGGACCTTCGCATTCACCAATATCAATTTGAACCTATGCGCGTAAAAAGCTTGAGATGTTAGAGAGATAATTTGTTATATCTACAAAAGTATCCTGAATTACACCTATGTCCCTGAAATCCACAAACAATAGAGATTAGAAAAGGCAATAATTAACAGCAAAATAAAAAATCTAGATTCATTTCCAAGTATCTACAAAGCTAATTGCAGTCTCAAGTCAAGGGGAAAGCAAGTGGTCCTCTTCTGGCTATGAATTGTTAGCTTTGTATTAGATGCAAGTATAGAAGTAAGTACAATACTTTATTTTCCTTTTGAAGGGTCCCAATTCTTTATACCGTTAGAAGAATTTTAAAGATCTCACTGGGACCTCTCTTCTCCCTTTATTAATTCCTTCTAGGCTGAATAAGTACCAAACTTACTGAAGGAGACAAAAAGGAATGTATTCATTATGCCATTCCTGGCCTTCAAACAAAGCCATGAAGAAGCATTTATTCCCCCCTTTTAAAAAGAATCACTCAAAATGTTTTCAGAAGACTTAAAAAGATAAATACTAAGACAACAAGAAGAATGTGCATGATGAATCCAGTGACTGTACATCAATAGTGAAATAGGTGCAGCCATGTACTATGTGTTACAGTGAGATGCTTAAGAAAGAAAGCAAGTGTCCATGAAAAAAATTCATCACTAACATAAAGAATCTCTAGCCTGTATGAAAAAGGTAAAATCTCACACGCAGGTACAAGCGTGTGTTTGTGTCTAGGAGAGACACAGGAAAAATAAACAATCCAATCACCACATTTCTCTAAGGCTGCCATTAAATACAGGGTCCAGAAAAGAAAACAATGAATACGCCAAGACTGTTTGAGGTAATATTATAGTATTATACAAAGAAATTAGCACCAAATTTGAATCAAGTCTGCAATCCAAATAGCTAAGATCTTTTTGTATATCAGACTAGAGATCAAAATGAAAGGACATCCATATCTAAGGAATTGCCCCGTCGCCTAACTATTAGTACATGGCTTGGCTGTGACCAAATTAAACAAAAATAGGGGAATCTAAAAGGGAAGAATATTTGTCAAATGTTACCCAAACTTGGCCTTCCAAAAATCCAAAGATGAAGCACCTATTCACCATCTCACTACCTTCTTTTCTGTGTACGTACCTAATGCTAAGTTACATTCCAGTCAACAGAATCTTCCTTGGTAAGAAAAAGGATTTGAAGGTTTCAAAACATAGTCTATAGTGGGTTCCTCCAATAAACATGAGAAAAAAAATCCACCATTCATTCTGGGAATAAGGTTCCTAAACTTTGCCAAATAACAAATATAAATTCACAGGAAAAGGTAGACTGAGGTGGATCTATTCTTGTACCTATTGTAAGGTGTCAAGTTTGTCAAGATTCATAGTGCATAAGAATTTTAAGTGGGTAGTGCAGCTGTCGGAGCATGGAAAGGGAAGTTGCATGAGAGGGGACCCACAGATGTGTGAGATTGGAAGAGCAAGATCTCTTTTCGAGTCGCTGTGAAGATTGGATTGGATCAAATGTTTTGTTGGCCCTGTCCGATATTCTTTGCCTCACTTGTAACCCCACCTCTTATTTACTTATAAGACATCCCTGAGCACAACTTTAGAACGTGGGAGTTGATCAAAGAAAACAAGAAATAGATAAGGGCTGTAGTAGACAACTTCTATTTACCGAAGTATCAGGAATGCAGAATTACAATGTGCAGAATCATAATTCTCATACAAGAGTGATAGCAGATTGAAAACAGGAGCCTTTTATCATTTCAGGTACAAATATTATTTGTTCACAATCACATAGATATTATATTTTTGGCTCTTAATATGAAGCTAATTTATTGCGAATCACATGATGAAGACAAAATGTATCACCACCACCACCAAGGAAAAAACCTTCATCCTTCTTCAAGAATGTTCACTCCACCTGAAAGGCAATTGTTCCACCAAGGTGCAAATGGCACCGGAGATTCAGGACTTGTACTTTCCACTGATGCCAAGCCAAGACTGAAATGGACTCTGGACCTTCATGAGCAGTTCATAGAGGCAGTTAATCAACTTGGTGGAGCAGACAGTAAGTGAATACATGTCTAGCAAATGATGCCCCAATAAAGTGCTACTGTATTCAGTTATCAATATGATTTCTTCTGTTGCAGAAGCTACTCCAAAATCAGTCTTGAAACTCATGGGAATTCAAGGACTAACCTTGTACCACTTGAAGAGTCACCTTCAGGTAAATTCTTCATTGCCAGATATTAAATTAGACTTCTGCACAAGAAAAAATAGACTTTCCAGTTTGATCACCTTCAATATTAACTAATTCTATGAGCAACTTAAAGTTCCAATTAAACCATTTCAAAGAAGCAGACAGATATAAACAGTCTTACATCACACAATCCCTACTTTGAATCCCACAAAACTCTCAAGAAAGTTACTAAAATGAAGCAATAGTTAACTATGAAACCTTCTGTCTTAATGACAGGAAAAGAAGTACTTTGAGCATATGTAGATATGCATGTATTCTTTCACTCAGCATGATTGTGTGTCTCATTTATAAACATATAGATAAAACCAGTTCTCAACCTTCTATATTCTCTGTTGTCAGAAATACAGACTCAGTAAAAACCTCCAAGGACAAGCTAATACTGGGATTGACAAAGCTGGTAACAAATCCGGTAACTACAAAAAAAACTGTTAAAAGATTATAGCTATTAATAAGAAAAGTGTATATAAAATCAATGAGTTAATTATGGTTGCAGCAACAGGAGAAAGGATGCCTGAAGCAAATGGAACTCAAACGAGTCATCTAAGCATGGCCAACCAAACAAATAAGTACGAAAAGCCTTGTTTTTTCTTTGGTAACTCATATATTTAAAGGTGATTCAACTGACAATGTTGTAACTGTGCTGCCTTATTTCAGAAATTTACCTTTAAGTGAAGCAATACAAATGCAAATTGAAACACAAAGAAGGCTACATGAGCAGCTTGAGGTAAAAAATGAAAGAACTAACTTTTTCCATGCATGAAGCAATAGCAAGTGCCTTTAACATAATGGATATAAAAAATTGCGCATGCAACAAAAATCAAGTGCTAATCCTTTGTGATACACTTTGAATTCTGAAATAAATTGTTGCTTCTGGAAGTATTATTGGAGCTTGGAGTATTGTAATGGTTAAAGGATCAAAGTTTGCTGAAAAGATGCACAAAACCAAATTATTCCTCGAGGCAAATTTTTGACTCATTTTGGATTATGATTACAAGTTTGACCTCTTCCGGAAATGAAACTTTTTACAATTGTTGAAATTTCATCACATTTCCAACAATTAAAGTTTGAACAAGCAAAATGTTACTAGGTGATGAAATCATTCTGAGTTTTTCAGCTGCCATTATAACAAGGTATACTTTCCATGCATAGGTACAACGCCATTTACAGCTCCGGATTGAGGCTCAAGGTAAATATTTACAGTCCGTACTAGAGAAAGCACAGGAAACTCTTGGAAGACAGAACTTGGGAACTATTGCTCTAGAGGCTGCCAAGGTTGAGTTATCTGATTTGGTGTCCAAAGTATCCACACAATGCCTGAATTCTGCATTTTCTGGGACGCAAGAATTGTCGGATTTATGCCTTGAGCAAACACAATTGAAGCCAAATGATGGTCCAATCGATAGATGCTTAACCTACAATGAAGGTTCTATGAGGGACCAAGAACTGTACATTAATCAAATGGGGTTGAAATCTTTGAAATTTAGAGCCCCAACCAAGTCGAGGGAGGATGGCAATGAATCCAAGCATCAGGATACTGAACTCATGTGGTGCGAAGACCTGACAGAGAGCAGAAAGTTTCTTTCCGCTATGGATGACAATATTGGAAAGTCATTTTCTACAGGAAAAAAATCCAGCAATTTATCAATGAGCATTGGACTTCAGGGAGGAAAATGGAACAGCAGCAGCAACTATTCAGAGGAAAGATATAAAGGAACAACTCCGGAGGTTATATTTTTTGACCAGGATACTCATAGAAATGATTCAGTTGAGCTAGAGAAGCAGAAGACATCACCAAAGTTTCAACTGCCTTACTTTTCAACCAAACTGGACCTGAACACAGAGGATGAAAATGATACTTCTTCAAGTTGCAAGCAATTAGATTTAAATGGATTCAGCTGGAGCTAAAAAACTCTGTTTGAGCGACAACTTGTTTTCTGATTTTCATGTTAAAGAAAGTTTGACTTCGTAACAGACACCTGGTGCTCCCATTTTCTTCGTATAATCAAAGACAGTTTTAGAGAAATGATAATGCCATGGAGTAGATTTCTTCATAAAACGCAAGATCTAAAACAAGCATAAACCAATACTTTCCCAGCGCACATGCGTAGACACCAGATGGACATTCCATGTTCTTTAAATCCAAAACATCAATAGGTGCATTAGTTGAATTCTACATTCAAAAGTTTGTTTATAAGAATCCAATCTAGCACTTGAAATAGATCCTAAGGTCAGCTAGATAAAGGTACAAGATACTAATTGATGATACTATGAGAACTATTCCAACTCCATCGACAGCAGCCCTAGACCATTCTAGTGCCTGCTATCTCCCTCACTGCCACTCCAACGCCGAGTCAGAGACATGTAAGAGAAAAATAATATATGAATTAAATGTAAAAAGGCTGAGAATGTAGAGAGTTTAATGTCCATACATGGGGCACCAGAGGCTCCATTATTGGTAACGTGCATCAAGGTTGATTCGTTCGGATAGGTTTCCTTATCCGTTCTTACGAATGCGGAGAGAATATAGGAAGCGGTCTCTTCACACCGTGACCATTATGACACCTGTACGAGTGATTGACTAAGTTCAAGGTGCTAATCAACTCAACTTTGAGTGATATTGCACCTCTCCTTCAGGTCATTGACTGCGACTTCGCTCATGACTTCAACCATTGCTTTTAGAGTGATGGTTGACCAACTCGCCTAGACTATTGTCTGGCATCATGGTGGAGCTCGGTGATGTTCTTTGGTCGACCTGGATCATAGTCAAATAGGATGCATACTCTTCCACAAACCAGACTTGACCTATAAACCTCCTGCACTGACCGTGGGGCCTTTAAGTGCCCTGTAGCTATCACTGTTGAAGAAGAAGTAAAAAACATATACATATTTAAATAGAGAACAAATTCATTAGGCAGTGCAAAATTTTGTGAGATCAGAGAATGGTGCAGAATTAGCAAGCCTAAGCATAAAGTTTCAATTTAAGGTGTAAAGATGTATTCAAAAGAAGAAATCAGAATCACGGTTACCATAAATCAATCAAATATCAGAACGCTAACTTTTTCATATTCATATAACTTATAGTATTCAATAAAAAAATAATGGAAGACGAAATAAAGACTTAGCAGCATTTCTGAAATATGTGATGTTTTCTCTTTCTGCAGTCAATCAAGCTTTAGCAATCCACCAAAGCGCCTTCAAATCAAATGTCTGAAATAAAATCCGTGATCAATCAGAATAAAGCATTAGTCCAGTTGATTCCTCAGCGATTAACCCGAGAAAGTAAAAAATTCATTGCCCAAATGCTTTTGGACAGAAACAATCAAATAACAGCAGAAATTTCTACTGTAAACACAGCTACAATCGCTCGCTGTCACTGTAGTACGCGAAATGCGTGTATAAACAACGTCTGGTTACTATAGCTAGGTTTTGTTCATCAGCGGTAGTAATTCACCATTGTTTGCCTGAGAATTGCTCCGTGAAAAATTTTTAGAGGGAAATGATGGGCCCTACTAATTTGTGATGAATTCATCCCTGGAAACCCAGATAAACTTTTACGTACCAACTCTGGACTGGGTTATGATTGGGCTAATAGCTAACTTCAACTGGGCAGGAACAGGCCCAAGATGTTTCTCATCAGATGACCTGAATAAAGTTAAGAAAAATTATCTGATATCTATGCGCATAAGGTCATCGATCTCTGTGGATTATGATATAAAAATAGGGAAAAAAAATCATAATTGCATATGAAATCTGAAATATTTCAAGTAATACTGCAAAAATCATAAATTACAAAATCTACTACACCCTCCACAAAATATCATCAAAACTACTACAAGGGAAACTTTCCTCGATTAACCCAAAGTAGCTGAAATTCTTGAATGGACTGATATCAAGGAAACTATTTACTCGTTTGCTGCAGTTATGGGAATTCAAAATTCAATTGGTTCTCAACCTTAGATAATTGTGAATAGATGATTACTTATGACTCTTCATCTGCCATTCGTGATATATTGAAGGCGAGAGACTCTAATTTCTTACAATTGAATCTTTTTATTGTGCTAATCTCAGAATACATAAGAATTTTCCACAATCAATCGAGTAAAATTTATTTTGGTTTTGTATTAACTTGTTATCATCTTTGCATATGAGATTACAGATTGTGATTAGATGTTTCAGCATATATTTGTTACTTGAAATTTATATCAAGCTGTGTTCTGGAATTGATTTCACCCCAATTGCTATCTGAATATGAAACTTTCACACATTATAATTGATGTTAGGAAACATATCATTGCAATCAAGACTATTGTTGAAATTTATTGGGTTTTATATTGAGAGAACACAATTCTCGTGGAACAACTTGCATATATTTTTTTTATGAATCCATGTCTAAATATGAATTAGTTGCAACCTATCTTGACTATGGAGAAACAAATTTGTTGCAGTGTCGATAATGTGTTTGTCAAACATTTAGGTAGTTTGAGTAGCTTCTACTCGGATCACTTTATGATATGTGAAGTTTTCGTCACAATTTATTCTGTTGTCTGAGAAAGAGGGTAATGAAACCTTCATATTTTTCGAACAGATGATCATTTTTGAATTACTTATAATGGGAAGCATGCAGTGCAGATACTTTATATTTCCACTTGATTTTCCTAAAGGAGTGTTATTTGGCATCGTACTTGGATGTGTCGTTCCTCTTGGTGATCGTGCACAATGAGAGGTCGACAATTGCCGAGCATGTAATAAAATATTTCCTCCTAAATCCAAGAGGCAACTAGGCTAGCCTAAAAAGACTTGGAGACGGACTAGGATGGAGTGATTAAAAGCAACCATATGTGGAATGTGTGGCAGGAGGGGACAAAACAGGTGAACCTATAAGCAAAAACTCCCACTTTGTCATATAGGCAAGCGTAAATGAGGTTAGGCGGTATGACTTAAATACTAAGATGTGTGACATTGCGCTTCACATCACCTAACGTTATGATGTAGTGAAATTGTTATCTTGCATTTGTAAATATAGTATTCTCACATCATATGTGTTTGGGAATACATTAGGGGGTGTTCTCTTTGTGTTTCAGTTTTGTGTTTTGAGTTTTGAATTCATTTTGAGTTTTGTATTTTGAGTGTTTGTTTTGAAATTGTTGAAAATGCGTTCTTTTTGTTAGTTTCTCAAAACAAAAAAAAAATAATTTTTTTTTTTAAATTTTGAGAATCACCACAACACCACCTCAAAACACAAAAAAAA